CGGCACAGGCAGTAGCCCCGAGCACAAGCTCCCCAGTGCGGCTCTTTCCCGGCTTTTGTGCGCCCCCTCTCTCTCCCCGCCGTGTCCCCGCGCCCCGCACTCTCCGCCGCCCAGCGCGGACGGGGCTGCAGCGCGCGGGCAGAGCCGGGGCCGCGCCGCTGCCGCGTTCGGTCCGACCTGAGTGAGGACTGCGCGGAGCCTCCCCGCGGGCGGGCCCGGCCGCCTCCTGCCCCTCCCGCCCGGCGCTGATTGGTGCCGCTCGCGGCCCGAGCGCGCGCTGCCCGCAAGGGACGCGGCGCTTCCAGCGGGCCGGGGCAGCGGCCCGGAGAGCTCGGCGGGGCCGGGCAAGGCAGAGGCCGCCTGCGCCTTCGGCCTTGCTGCCGCGGCCCTGAACCGAAGGCGGATACTGAGCGGCAAGATAGCGCGAGCTCTCGGGGAAGGAGGCGGCTGCCGGCGATAGCTTTAGCCAGCGGTCCCGAGGCCGGGAATGGACGCGAGCGAAGCGGCTTTAGTAAAAACAGGGCGAGCCCGAGGCTCGGGCGGCGAGCCCGCCCTGGCCCGCTCTCCGGCGGTGCCGCCGCCGCCGCTGTGCCCCGCAAGCCGTTGCTGGAAGGGGGCGGGGGCGGGGCGAGGCCAGGGCGCGTTTCCCGCCCCGAAGGCGGGGGCTTTTCCCGGGCTCGCGACATGCGCCCAATGGCAGCCGGCCGCTGCCGCGCGGGCGGCCAATGGGCACGGGCAGCGGGGTTATAAATAGCGGCGGCTGTGAGCCGGGGGCGCAGTGAGCGCGGAGCGCTGTGAGCGTTTAGGCTATGGCGCGTACGAAGCAGACGGCGCGGAAGTCGACGGGCGGTAAGGCGCCCCGCAAGCAGCTGGCCACCAAGGCTGCCCGCAAGAGCGCGCCGGCCACGGGCGGCGTCAAGAAGCCGCACCGCTACCGGCCCGGCACGGTGGCGCTGCGCGAGATCCGGCGCTACCAGAAGTCCACGGAGCTGCTGATCCGCAAGCTGCCCTTCCAGCGGCTGGTGCGCGAGATCGCGCAGGACTTCAAGACCGACCTGCGCTTCCAGAGCTCGGCCGTCATGGCGCTGCAGGAGGCCAGCGAGGCCTACCTGGTGGGGCTCTTCGAGGACACCAACCTGTGCGCCATCCACGCCAAGCGCGTCACTATCATGCCCAAGGACATCCAACTGGCCCGCCGCATCCGCGGAGAGCGCGCGTAATTCGCTCCCGGCCGGGCAGTGAGGCAACCCACACAGACCCAAAGGCTCTTTTAAGAGCCACTACATGCGCCATAAAAGAGTTGTTGCACTAGTTGATTGGGTCAGGGGGCGTGGTGCGCGTCAACAGCTTTATAATACGTCAGTCAGTTGCTAGAGCATAAGATGTACAATTACGTTTCTAAACACCTTTACAGCCTACTTTAGTGCACAAGTCGTGCCTTCCAGACAGCCATTTTGGCTACTATTCTATTACCAGAAATGTGCTTCAAGGAGGTACATTACCCATGCATCTGTATCTTTACAGTTTTTCTATCCTAATAAACTGTTCACGCTCTGAAATAGTGTCACGGCTCTTTTATTGTGCATGTAGTGGCTCTTAAAAGAGCCTTTGGGTCTGTGTGGGTTGCCTCACTGCCCGGCCAGGAAGGGCTGCTGCCGGCAGCTCAGGCGCGCTCTCCGCGGATGCGGCGGGCCAGCTGGATGTCCTTGGGCATGATAGTGACGCGCTTGGCGTGGATGGCGCACAGGTTGGTGTCCTCGAAGAGCCCCACCAGGTAGGCCTCGCTGGCCTCCTGCAGCGCCATGACGGCCGAGCTCTGGAAGCGCAGGTCGGTCTTGAAGTCCTGCGCGATCTCGCGCACCAGCCGCTGGAAGGGCAGCTTGCGGATCAGCAGCTCCGTGGACTTCTGGTAGCGCCGGATCTCGCGCAGCGCCACCGTGCCGGGCCGGTAGCGGTGCGGCTTCTTGACGCCGCCCGTGGCCGGCGCGCTCTTGCGGGCAGCCTTGGTGGCCAGCTGCTTGCGGGGCGCCTTACCGCCCGTCGACTTCCGCGCCGTCTGCTTCGTACGCGCCATAGCCTAAACGCTCACAGCGCTCCGCGCTCACTGCGCCTCCGGCTCACAGCCGCCGCTATTTATAACCCCGCTGCCCGCGCCCATTGGCCGCCCGCGCGGCAGCGGCCGGCTGCCATTGGGCGCATGTCGCGAGCCCGGGAAAAGCCCCCGCCTTCGGGGCGGGAAACGCGCCCTGGCCTCGCCCCGCCCCCGCCCCCTTCCAGCAACGGCTTGCGGGGCACAGCGGCGGCGGCGGCACCGCCGGAGAGCGGGCCAGGGCGGGCTCGCCGCCCGAGCCTCGGGCTCGCCCTGTTTTTACTAAAGCCGCTTCGCTCGCGTCCATTCCCGGCCTCGGGACCGCTGGCTAAAGCTATCGCCGGCAGCCGCCTCCTTCCCCGAGAGCTCGCGCTATCTTGCCGCTCAGTATCCGCCTTCGGTTCAGGGCCGCGGCAGCAAGGCCGAAGGCGCAGGCGGCCTCTGCCTTGCCCGGCCCCGCCGAGCTCTCCGGGCCGCTGCCCCGGCCCGCTGGAAGCGCCGCGTCCCTTGCGGGCAGCGCGCGCTCGGGCCGCGAGCGGCACCAATCAGCGCCGGGCGGGAGGGGCAGGAGGCGGCCGGGCCCGCCCGCGGGGAGGCTCCGCGCAGTCCTCACTCAGGTCGGACCGAACGCGGCAGCGGCGCGGCCCCGGCTCTGCCCGCGCGCTGCAGCCCCGTCCGCGCTGGGCGGCGGAGAGTGCGGGGCGCGGGGACACGGCGGGGAGAGAGAGGGGGGCGCACGAAAGCCGGGAAAGAGCCGCACTGGGGAGCTTGTGCTCGGCGCTACCTGCGCCGGGACTGCGTAGGTCGGGGCGAGAACGCGTTCGGCTTTGCTTCCCCTCGTCACCCGTGACAATACACATTGCGGGGCAGGGGAGGGGGCATCCACCTTAGAGTCCGTTTTCTAAATCAAAACAACAAGGCACAAGAGCACCGGATGGTCTGAAAGCCCCTCTGCAGTCAATGCTCCCGGTACACACCATGTTACGTTAACGTAGGGCAGCCGAGAAATTACCATGTACCAGCTGTCAGGAACATGCTTCCGCTGTTTTAATTGAGAGACCACCGACAGTATTTGTTCTTTTTTCTAACTCGCCTCCCCTACAGTGTACATAGATCAAAACGGACTCCCAGGGCTTTTAATAAGAATTATGAACGTCTTTGGGTCCGTTGAATCAGACGTAGGACATACCCTAAGTTTACCACAAACTCTGTAAATCCTGCCGTCTTTATTAGATGCGTTTACACCGTAAATGCACATTCCCCCCACCCCACCGCCGCAAAAATCAAAAAAAAAAAAAAAAAAACGGGATGGGTAGGAACTCGCCACAGGATCAGCTCTTTTACTGAGAAAGTGGGTGGCTCTTAAAAGAGCCTTTGGGTTGAAAATACCGACGAAAGAAGGCAGAAGCCGTCTACTTGGAGCTGGTGTACTTGGTGACAGCCTTGGTGCCCTCGGACACGGCGTGCTTGGCCAGCTCGCCGGGCAGCAGCAGGCGCACGGCCGTCTGGATCTCGCGCGAGGTGATGGTGGAGCGCTTGTTGTAGTGCGCCAGGCGCGAGGCCTCGCCCGCGATGCGCTCGAAGATGTCGTTGACGAAGGAGTTCATGATGCCCATGGCCTTGGACGAGATGCCCGTGTCGGGGTGCACCTGCTTCAGCACCTTGTACACGTAGATGGAGTAGCTCTCCTTGCGGCTCTTACGCCGTTTCTTGTCACCTTTTTTCTGCGTCTTGGTGACAGCTTTCTTGGAGCCCTTCTTGGGCGCGGGGGCGGACTTGGCCGGCTCGGGCATGGTAGCGATTCCTCTCGGTACAGCAGCACCGACGATTTCTCGGACAGAGAACGCCGCGCACCTCCGAGAGCGCCGCTTTTATAGAGCGGTTATGCAAATTAGGGATTCCCGTAGACTAAACTGTTATTGGCTGAGGCAAGTTTCTGCAGCGATAGCGCTCCGCCCTTCATCGCCATTGGTCAAATCTGGATCCGCGTTCCTATTGGCTGTTTTAGGTACATCCCTGTCTTAGCCAATTGGAAGTCGCGCCGTCCGCTAAAGAGGTATATAAGGCCGAGCTCCGAACTTGTAATTATCGCAGTCTGTCACCGAGTTCCTGTGTGTAGTTGCAGTCATGTCCGGGCGCGGGAAGCAGGGCGGCAAGGCGCGGGCCAAGGCCAAGTCGCGCTCGTCGCGGGCCGGGCTGCAGTTCCCCGTGGGCCGCGTGCACCGGCTGCTGCGCAAGGGCAACTACGCGGAGCGCGTGGGCGCCGGCGCGCCGGTGTACCTGGCGGCCGTGCTGGAGTACCTGACGGCCGAGATCCTGGAGCTGGCGGGCAACGCGGCCCGCGACAACAAGAAGACGCGCATCATCCCCCGCCACCTGCAGCTCGCCATCCGCAACGACGAGGAGCTCAACAAGCTGCTGGGCAAGGTGACGATCGCGCAGGGCGGCGTGCTGCCCAACATCCAGGCCGTGCTGCTGCCCAAGAAGACCGACAGCCACAAGGCGAAAGCCAAGTGAGCTGAAAGGCTGCGGACTTAAACTAAGAGAAACCCAAAGGCTCTTTTAAGAGCCACCCACAAATTCAGAGAAAGAGCTTGAATTTCATTGGGGTGGTATAAGCCCGCGGGAGTTTTGAATAATCCGCGCAGGGCGGGGGGGGGCGGTTATCCAGTTATCTCTGATATTTTAACTATCGGTGCTGGACGCGGCTCCGCGCACACAGCACCAGCCGCGCTCTGGGGCGGGGCTGACACCAGTTCCAGGAAGCAGCTCAGCCCTTCCGCAGCCAATCCTTGTGCCTTATGGGCATTTTGAAAGCTACCAAGGCGCTAATACCCTCCCCGTACCAATTCAAGTGCCCCTCGAGCTGTTCCGCGCTCAGCACATTCACCAGAAGATTGCTGTTCCTCTACACCCCTCCCCAAAACGGCGGCAGCCACAGCATTCCAGCCCAACTGTTGGCGCTGGTGGGTTTAAATACGAAGCAAGCGTATTTCCACGTGGGGCTTACTTCTTCTTGTGTGTTGCTTTTTTGCCTTGACCGCTTTGGGCTTCACCGCTTTCGCCTTAGCCGGGCTCTTCTCTACTGCCACCGCCTTCTTGGGCCTGACAGCCTTTGTCGCTTTGGGACTCTTGGCTGCTTTCTTGGCTGCAGGCTTAACTTTCTTGGGGCTGTTCTTTGCTGTCACCGCCTTCTTGGCGGCGCTGGCGGGCTTCTTAGCCACCGTCTTCTTGGGCTTGATTACTGTATTTTTTTTTTTCTTAGGAGCTTTTTCCTTCACTTCCCCAGGTTTCTTGTTGGGGCGGAAGGAGCCGGAGGCGCCGGTGCCCTTGGTCTGCACCAGGGTGCCCTTGCTGACGAGGCTCTTGAGCCCCAGCTTGATGCGGCTGTTGTTCTTCTCCACATCGTAGCCGCCGGCGGCCAGCGCCTTCTTGAGCGCGGCGAGCGAGAGCCCCTTGCGCTCCTTGGAGGCGGACACGGCCTTGGTGATCAGCTCGGTGACGCTGGGCCCCGCGGGCTTGCGGGCTTTGGAGCCGCTCGCCGCCTTCTTCGGCTTCTTGGCGGCGGCCTTGGCGCCGGGGGACACTGAGGTGTAACCGGGAGCACCGGGCAGGGCCGGCCCGAGCCCCCCCGGTTATTGCAGCGCGGCGGGCGCTGGTTGGCCCCGCCCGGTGTCCGGCCGCCGCCCGGTGCTCCGCGCTCCGCCTGGTGCTTCCTCGGGTGAAATAGAATGGCTTTTTTTCTATTTTTTCTGTCACGAAATCGTCCTTTTTCTACATCTGTGAGGCCGTGGGAGCGGCTGGTTTTGCCTGTTGATGTCTTGTCGCGAAAAGAGTTGGTTTTGAGTAGCTAGTGGACAAGAAATCCCGAGTCCAGGAAACGGATCTCGAGAACGCGAAAGTTTTGTTTTTCTTTGTAAATTAGAAATTTTTCTTTAAAGTTAACGTGAGTCAGAAAACTCAGTATTTATCTTCAGAGTGTCCTTTTTACCTTAGATAAGAAAGCAAACAGTTAGAGTCTCATTCTTCAAAATAAAAGGTTTTCAAAGAGAGTGAGGTAGCACAAAGCTGTGCTGCCGCTTCTCCTACTGAGGTTTATACCTCTGGCTATTGTGAAACACTCAGGTATAATTTTTTTCCTTTACTTCTAAAGTTTCCAGACGTTCCACACTTCTATGCATGAAGTATGAGACAGCATCTTTGTCCCCCTCTTTGAAACACTTTCCTTTTTAATGTAGCAAAAGGCTCTGCAATATCAGTGGAATAATTTGGGACCTGAACACCAAAGATTAAAAAGTTTGTGTTAGACCACAGAGCTTCATGTAAGTCTCTGGTGCACAGAAACAGATCACACTAAATGGAGCACACAGTGCTAAGTCTGTAAAATTTGTTCATGTGATTCGTTAACATGGAAAAAGAAATGGACAGATCTTGAGTCTACAAAAGATGTCAGAGCACCATTCTATTCATATTTTGATCTGAAGCTGGAAAGAAAAGCCACAGTTTTTGCTCACTGCCCTTTTTCTGTCACAGCTGTTTCTGTGCATACGAGCTTTGGCTGCAGCACAAAGTGAGGCAAAGCTCTTTATGCAGGTTGTGGTGGCTCCCCCATTAGCATGCATACATTCTTACCAGCTACAGCTTTGGGTATAGTTTTGTGTCTCTGTCAGGAGTTCCCAGTTCCTTTATCTTGAAATTTAATGGCCATCAATAGTTTAGCAGGGCCAGATTGCTGCATTTATTTATACCTCACATAAACAAAATGCACTTGAATGGTTTAGGTATGATGCTGACCAGTTATGACCAACTTCCCTTTTTCTTTTTGAGCAAGATGAAAAATCTGCGAGTGGAAAAATACCACCTCACTTCTCTATTTCATTCCACTAAAGAACAGTAAAATGAACCTCTTGAAGACTTTGGAAGACTCTCGATTTTCAATTAATTCACAAAGTCTGATTCAAAAAACCCTAAAATAGGCACTTTGACATTTTCTTACATAATTATGGTAAAAAGGACTTTCAGAAAATAAACACATTTTTTGCATTTGTGTTTTCTTTCTAACTCCTCCTTGCCATTGAGGTCCCCTAGGTGAGGAATTATGATGTTATGATGAGGCAGAGAGTGCAGTAAGATGGAAAATTCAGCAAATCTGGATCTGGGTTTTTAAACCATGTTGGAAATGGGATGGCCTATAGAGTAAGGTTCACTGGAAATTTTACAAAGCCAAGAGAACTTGATGTATGACATTTACTCCATGTCATAGTAGGGGGCATAAATAATTGAATAGTGAAATTGTTGGCATCCCCTAAAGTTTCCTGCAATCAGGTGGAGGACTGTGTGTCTGCTCTGTCCCATCCAGGTCTGGTAGAATCCCTGATGTCCTTTAAAAACTAAATGTGTTACAGTGTTTAAGCAGGTTTGTGTACTCACCAACCCTGCAATCACCAATGCCAATACCTGTGTTGGGACAGAAGCCTTTCTACCTCCCCCATTCTCTGCAAATCTTATTTTACAAGAGTAATAATGCATCACAATAACACACTTCCCTCCAGCCTGTAATGTAATATTCCCAAGACTGTTTTCCTTTACACACACAGCTGGCACACAGCTGTATGCCTAAATCCTGTATAGTGGTGCCAACCACAACACCAACCATCTCCAGAGGAAAAGCTTCTCAGTATGTGCCACTGCAACACTGCCACACATTGTGGTAGTCCTCATCTGACTCCACTTTTGTCTCCACCATTCTCTATCAAATGTTAAATTGAGCAACTTGAGGCTAAATTTTGTAATTATTTTAGGGGCTCCTACTTATTTGATTTTCCTCTTCTGTTTTTATTCCAATATTCCCTTTCCTTATTTGTACAAAGATTATATAATCTCATGACCATTTTATATACAAGCACTCAAGTCATTTTTATTAGGAGAAGGATGCAGAAGTACAAGAGAATAATCAAGCCCTACAAGGAGATAGGAATACAGCATCACATCATAGAGTAGTAAATACACAAAGACTGTGCCTCATGGCTCACCCTCCTCCCCCAAAACCTGCTGTTTCTTGTGTGATTAGCAGCACAAAAACCTGAAGTTGTGCACCAGAGATCATTACTCCAGTCGTGGTCAAACTTAATTAGGATAGGTGTAGCAGCACATATTGCCCTGCAATGCAGACATGAAGAATAACAGCTAGGAAGGATCCTTGCTGGGAGAGAGTCTCCCTCCCTCTTGTGCATTTAGCATCACAATTACAGCCAGCCTTGCTACCTCACCCTAGAAGAGGTGAAATTAAGAACAGCAGGATCTCAGTGGCATTCCAGGCTGTCGGTCTCTGCATGCACTGTCTGTATGGACAGAGATCTCTGCTAGAGCAGCAAGAATCTGCCAGAAAATCCTACAGAACGATTTTTTTTTTTTGCAGGTGCTATCAATGTGAGCCAGCTTGGAATACAAGAGATCAGATCTGAAAGCCCCTTAGGCCCCTTCCCAGACAGCATGGAAAGTATAGATTATTGTAACCAGTAACAAATACCTATTAACTTGCAAAAATATATAGTAATCCAAACCAAACTTAGTGCCTGCTAGCCAACTAAAAAAATTGCAAAATCAGGGTAGCTTTCCAACTATTGCATGTTCTTATCAATCATTGCATGCCCCTTTTGTGATATTTGGCTCTGGGACACAAAGCCAAGCGGCCACCATAGATGACATTAAAATTCCTAGGAAAAGGACCTTACAAAGGCCCAGTGTTCAGCTGTTTGTACTCTGAGGATAATTCTTCTTCAACTCTTTCTCCTATTCCTCCCGTTCCTTATGACTTTTCCACACAAACACCTAACTGCACTGCATTTCACATTGCTGTGGCTTTCCCAAACATGTAAAGCCCATCTCTGTTTTGGAGATAGAAGAACTGAGAGTCATTCTCAATTCTCAAAAATACAGTTGCTCAGATCCTCCCATTTTGGTCTGATTCACATTTTCTACCCTTCTCTGGCTGAGGCCCAGCTATAGATGTTAATTCTCAACATTTCCTGTCAGCAAAAAAAAAAAGGTTCAGAGATGATAAATCTAATTTCATAAAGGAAAAAAAAAACCAACAAAACAAAAAACCAAAACAAAACCAAAAAATCAAAACCTGTTCAAAATGCAATGAATTTGTCTGCTCATTTTAACTTTTAGTTTGCCACAAACCTGAGCTCGCTGCCATGCACACACACAGGCAAGGCCAAGAAGTCAGCTGCAGGTGGGATCAGGATGAGGCCAGGAGAGGGGCTCTGGGCTCAGCCCCAGCTCCGTGCATTGCATGCTCCCTGGGGCAGTGGGACCATGGCCAGGCAGGGCTCTGGGGAACTTGAGACCGGCCCTATTTCTGTGTTGCTGGGATAGGGGCTGATGGCTTCAGCGGGGCTGGAATGGCCATGAACAGGGTTGGGGGAGCCCCAGGAAATGCTGGGCAGGGATGGCAGGGCTGGTGGTGCCCTGACAGTCCCCTCCTTGGGGCAGCAGGGACTGTAAAAGGCTCTCAAAGCTACTTGTTCAGCAGCTCTCTAGATCCAGACAACAGGGAGCACTTTTGGCCAAGTTGAATGGTGTTTGATTTCAGCCTAGTGTAGACAGAAGCAGATTTCAGTTATAACAAAACTCTACTGCCACTTGCACTTATTGACACTGGATGTACTCACCAGGTTTAGGTTCAGGATGGCCAGGAACAACAGTTCCTGCACCTCAGTTTGGTAATTCCCAACTCTTCTGCCATCAAGCACATAAAAATGTGGGAAGGCTTGGCTCACCTTTTGTAGGGCCCAGAGCAGCCAGTTGCATCTGAAACAGCCTTTCACCTTTATTTCAGCACCCTCACAAGGAAACGTCTCAAGAGCAGCCAGCTTCAGTTTCCAAAATTTCCTTCTAAAATAATAGTATTTCCATCCCATGCAGCAGTCACAAAACCCAAAGGGGACAGCAGGGAGAGCAGCTTGTTCCACCTTTCAGCTGCTGTCTGGAGAAAATCCTGACCCACGGTTTTGGTTTGGGTGACAATGCACACGTTCTCCCCACCAGCTCCTGGTGGGGACTTGCATCTTTTCCCATCCCACTCTGAACCACGACATTCACATCACTTAGGCACTTTTATTTCCTCTGAGGGAGCTGGTCTTAAACTGCTGGCTGACTGCAGCTCTTGGCTCCCCTTTGGTGCCCACCCTGGGCAGGTAGAGAACAACCACCTGCAACTCCACTTCCCTGCAGAGAAGCCGGGAAGATGAGCTACCACCTCTTAAAAACAAGCTCATAATGGCTCAGAAGAGGTGGACAAGAACCCTAGAGGGAGAAGAGGTTGTCCCTCTCCTACCTCTGTGTTGCTGGAGGATCGAAGATGATGTTCCCAGCACTTCTCTAGAGGACACTGGGATGCAGAGCCAGCAAAAGAAAGGAGCAGTTTGGCACAGATGTCCAGCAGCTGAAATGCTGCCCTGAGCCAAGAGCAAAAATAGCTGCTGGTATCACTGCACCTGTGAAGACAGGGGAAATGCATGAATTTGGGCAAGCAGGCAAATTCAGAGAAGAGCTAGAGGAGGAGGAATGCTTCTGGTGGGCTGTTTCGCTGCCTTATTTTTCAGCATATGTAAGGTCTGTTATATAAAGTGCTTAGTTGTGGGATCCTGAATACATCCTTGTGTCTCTTGTTCCTTTTCCACTAACTCTTCTGGCAGTTTTGATGAACTGATGGACAGATTCTAAGACTTTTTTTTAAAATTACCAGCATGAAGCAATATTCTTTCCTTCTTGCTTACATCTATTCAAACGAGGACTTCTATGACAGCTGTCCAATCACTTCCATATTAATAATCTAAAAAAGAAGACATTTTGTTCCATAAGTCTTACAAGGGAAATATTCTTGTTGGCTTTACAGAAACCTTTTCTTTTCCAAGAAATATAAAGAGAAGAATGCAGTATAATATATCCTTAAACATGGGAAAGTCTCAACCATCAAAGGCCCAGAACAAGGGAATTTAAAATCATGACCTGATCAGTATTATAAAAGCTGTGCCAGGTCAGAAGGTAGCTTCAGGGAGCAAACATTCATCTGAAACTAAGGCCACCTCCATTCACCATTTGTTCTGCTCTGGAGGTAATGAGCAAACCATTGGCTTCCTCCCTGCCTCTGTTTCCCTACATATCAAGTGAGAACAGGAACCTCCAAAGTTCATTGAAAATGCTGCAGATCAGCAAGGAAATGAATTGTCTGTAGCTCCATGTTGATAATCAAAGCTTCCAAACTGATGTGATTTTTGAGTTTACATCAGGAAATGCGTCAGCCACCATATGCTTCCCCAAATATAAAAAGTGGTGAGAAGTAGGCGGCCGGATTATCAATGCCTACTTGCAATCCATCATGCTATGGAGGAAAAGATCCCTCCTGAGGAGCAGATTTTAGGGAAGGAGGCTACTGCTTCCTAGGCTCCCTCATGACCACTGGCTGTGGGAAGACCTGCCTACAGAATGGCTGAAGAAGGAAGAGTTCCAGGTGCAATGATTGCTGTGTGCTGAAGCTAAAGGAAGATGATGCTCATCTTCAGATATCACTATAAAGAGGCACAAAGTACAGCAACATTTTTGCTTTTAGAGATCCAATACAGCTCCCTGACTGAACCAGGTTCAAGGCAGGGCTGACAGGAAGAGAACATATTCACCCTTTTTGCCCAGTTCCAGGTCTACAAGTCTGCAGAGCTGCTTCAAGTGTGAAAACATTTTTTTTCTAGAGCTATACCAGCTCACTACAAAATGTCATCTGCTCTGAAAACAATCACTAGATGTCTGATGTGCTGCAAATATAAAATAATACGCAGCCTAGAGGGGAGCCCTAGGATACTACAAGAGATATTTGTCAAAATCTGATTTTGGTATCAAGAATGGAATTTGTCCTTAGAGTCCACAAACACTTTTCAAAGCAGGTTTGTCAAATACAGAGACTTGATTAATGATGGACATGAAGGCCATCCCAGCAGCCATATATCTCCTGCTGAATACTGAGTTAAGTATGGATGCAAGCAGTGGTACCTGTATGATAAACATTTGGGAGGTACAGAAGGCCACACTGCATGCTCATAGCCAGATGCCCATTCCTCTTTGGATCTAGAGAGATCCATCCCTCTTGTACAAGTGTTCTGTAGTTCAGAAGTGTTCCCAAGCCTTGCTGGTGTCAGCAGGGTCGAAAGGTACCTGAAAAATCCATAAGGGAGATGCACCACTGCCACACACAGTCTTCCTTCCACAACAGCATCTCCTGCTCACTGCAGGACAGCAAGGGCTGGTTAAGGGACCCTCTCTGGCCCAGAGCAGCATCTGTGGGACAGGATATTTGAAACTGGAACATAAACCTAGCCAACCTGTGGGACAACGAATGAGGCAGGAAAGGGATAAAGGGATAAAGAATTGCTGTCTATAATTTGTCACATATTATAGAGTAGGTGCCTGGAAGAGATGGACTGGAGGAACTTTTGGGGATGACTCTTCCTTCTCCTGGCTCTAGAGGGAGCTTCGGCGTGTGAATAAACTGCGTGTGAACCTCTAAAGAGGGCTGAAATGAGGTGACATGCATCTCTAGCTGAAGTTCAAGGTAACAGTTTTTAACTTTTCCTGGACTTCCTTAGGCCTCTGTGTCTCCATCATGTTTCTATAGTGCCAGATGGGAAGGTTAGTCAATGTAACACAGCAGCTTTTGAGGCTCCTAGGCAATCTCAGCCAGAATTT